TAAGCTTCTTGCAAATCATTTCTTCTGCCTAAACATTTCTAAACTCTTCTTCCTCTGCCAAAATGCAACTTGGATGCATAAACAAAATCCCTCCTGCATCCTAAGGAAGGATTTGAATAAAAGTAGAAGCTAAGACAAAATCAGTGTTCAGAAAACTTTTTTTTTTTTATGCTTTCTTCTGTCTTCAGTGAGGATGGAATGAACAGATGGTCCAGACTGTAAAATTGTGTTATAATTTACTGAAACCTGGAGCATTTCACTGTGATCAGAGCCAGTGAAGGTAGACCCTGCTCCAGGATCTAAGAACTGAAAGTGAAAATGTATTCAGTGAGCAACAATGAGAGTAGGAGAAACCAGTTTGTAGGTAGGGTTTTAACCAGCATCAGTAGCAAATAACGCTGCCTGTACTGTGTGAACCAAAACACAAGGCATTTGTGTCTGTCACACTGAAAACCAAAAGTGGGCTCTGCAGCATTAAATCCATGAGATTGAACTGGTGTATTTTGAGTTTGAAGATTTATAAGATAAAGATGGGAAAGTGGGAAAACCGGATGCCTTTGGGGAGATTCAGCCCCAGACAGGGAGTCCTATACCTAGTTCTCCACTCCCATCCAGGTGTCTCAGTGACAGACTTGACTCAGATTATTGCTGCAGATGATCATGTGTATTAAAAAGAGATAGAACACTGAATTTAAATAATAAAGATCCTTATACATACTGGATGGTAGCAAAGTCGCTTGTAGATTATAATATAAGAAAAGGTGTAATAAATAATTTGTACTTACTACCTTACCCACAAAAAACATTCCTTCTTGTTTAAGAAAGAGTTTTTTCCTCAGGAAAAGCTAATTTTGTGATGCCTTTAGGGTTTATATGTGATCTGGTGCTGTTTATTATCCTGATGTCTTCGTAGCAGTGGCAGGTTTTGTCAGAGGGGAGGCTCTGAGCCCATTCATGAGGGTTTCTTGGAACTGCCCTGGGAGTTCAGGGACACAAGTGGCAGCATTGCCACAGCTTACAAAATTCTATCTTGATGTGCAAATTTTTTTTTTTTTTCCCTAGAAGCGTGACCACCTTGATGTCAAGTTCAGGATGAATCAGTTTTTATGTGCCACACGTGTGAGAAGTGCCTGTGCACCTGCAGCAGTGTGACCACTTGCTTCTTGCCTATGTTTTCTGCATTCATAGGCATTCAGAAGTACTTCCAAAACCAGCTCTTTGATCAGCCCTGCCACCTAGCACCTCTATTCTCAAATAAAACAGCTTCCTTTTACAGCTTGCTAAAAATAGCCATTTTTTTAAAGCCTGAGGACACAGTGATTCATGTGATAGCAAAGAGGAAGAAGAGTTATTTCTTTTGCTTTAGGCTTTGGAAGGAAAGCTGTTGTGCTTGTTCCAGTGCCAACTGGGCTCTTGCTTGCTCCCACTTGGACTTCATGGCCGCATCGCCAACCAAGTGGCTCTGGCATCCCTTGATCTGCCATGGCAGCCCAGCAGCTATTTGAGATGCAGGTGCCATGTCCCAGTGCCCATCTTGGCTCTGGAGAGAGGGTGCACAGTCACTGACATAATTGAAAATAAACCCTTGAGATGTCAAGTTGCAGCTTTTGCCTCTGTGGGGTTTGTGCAGAGCTCACCCAAGGATGAAGATATTTCTTGCAATTTATAGACAGGGAAAGGTGAAATGCTTCCACTGTTAAAATTCCTGATGCAGCTCCTGATACCATTGCAAGTGCAGTGTAAGGACAGGAAGAAGTCACAGATAGAGCTTACATAGGCCTGTTTATTCATGAATTCCTGTAGCAGCTCTGCAGAGGTCTCGTTCTGCTGTCTGATGCCACAGTGTACGACTGCTAAACCTGCTTCTAGGCTCTGGCTTGCAGCGGCCCCTCTCTCAATAACCTGCTCAGGTGCAGTTTTTTCTGCTTTGAAGCTCTTAATCTTCTCTTTTCTCCTGAAGAAACAGCCCCCAGAAAGGCACTAGTCTTAATGTAAATGGAATTGGTTGCAAACCTTTTAAGATACTTATTCCTACTCTGGCAATGCGTTTCTGGAGGAACATGACGCAGAAAATGGCTGGTATATGTGCATACAGCATTTTAGTTGCTGAGCAACCTCTTTCTTGCTTCATCCACTTAGCATAAGAATCCCATTTCAAATAAGATACTTGGGACCCTGGCTGACTTAGTGATAGCTAGTGTAACCTGCAAAGACTACTTGGACAGGAAAACAAAACCACTTTCTTGAAAAACAAAAAGCTTTGCAAGGACTTCCGCTGTAAAGGACCATATATCTGCAGTGTTGCTTTCTAATTCCCATACACAGTTTTTTATATTTGGGTTCTTGAGTAGACCTGAAATCACTATTCTAGATAAAGCATGCCCAGAAGCAGTGGTTCTTATCTACAGCTCAACAAAGTTATCTTTCTTAGTGCTTACCATGTTTTTATTAATAGCATCCCGAGAACTTGAGCAACCAGATGATGTTTGCTCCTTTTCTCCTAACAAGCTTGTTTTAACCAGTTTTAATAAAATAAAAGCTTTGGCATGAAGGCAAAATAATCTTTCGTGTTGATGGAAGGGGGAAGAGTATACACTTCTAATATTGAAAAAACCAAGGTCCCTGGAAGTGTGCAGTGATAAGACTCACCAACTTGAATAATCGTGTTTGGGCTTTTGGTTTTTTGTTCTTGTTTTGGTTGTTTGTCTTTTTTTTTTTCTTTTCCAGGTTTGTGTTTGTTAGAATTGCCACCACCCAAAAGGCACTGGGTTTGTTCTTTTTGTAAAAGATTTAACACACATTTTTCATGTCTGACTATCTTCTTGGCTTTCTGTCATCGTTCACAGGAATTAATTGTTGATACTTGCCTATATTCATCCACCCAAGTACCATTTCCTCCTTTCCTTCTCAGCAATAGCTTATCTGCAGGGTCAAAGGAGTAATACCAGTCATATTGAATGGGAAAACAAGGGAATGGAGCCCAGATCCTGCTAGAATCCAGTAACATATGGATTTTTTTGCCTTGGTCTGCCTTGAGTACCAGCTTTTGCAGAGCCTGAAGGAGGTACAGATCAGAGAGCAAGATGGAGAATTCAGTGGTGTAGCTCTGATTTAGACCTATGCTCCAGCGAGAGCTGACAGTGCACAGATGTCCAAGTTGTGTCACTCATGCAAGCTGCTTCCTCCAAATTATTCAATATGAAATTAAGGTTTTAAGCTTTAATTTTCAGATAACCTTTACAAACCAAGCAAAGTGCAACCTTACTAGCAATCTTGGAAAACATTTCTTTTTCTTCAGTGTTGGCAGAAATGACTGGCTGCTGGCAAGATTGTGTATTTGAAGTGAGAAGATGTCTTCCTTTGCCTTGTGTAACTGTGTGAATAAGGGGTTGCATGTGTAGATACCCGGTATCTCTACATCCTACTTTAGATTGAGTACATTTTATACATAACAAGTATTTTACAGGATTTTTGTGGATGTGACAGCAGGCAGCAGATGCAGTAAGTTGTCTCCTGGCTGCTAGGTTTCACTCAATTGGTCCAGCTTGTTTCTGCATCTTTTAGCAGCTAATTGTTCCAAAGTCACAAACTCAATTGTCCTGCGAGAGTTTGCTTTGGAACATCTTTCCTGAATAATCACTGTTGATTTTTGCATGTTATTTTTTAATCTAATTTAGAAAGGACAGAATGTTTTTAAGGATCAGGACAATGGTTACGCAGCTCCAGTGGCTTGATTTTCCTTTGTGGAAATCAGTGGCACATTCATTCTGGGACTGGCACTGCTGTTTGTGCACATGGTGGTTAAGCTTAAGCCTGCCCGGTAGAGGTATTTAAGGCTCATTTGTTATGGAAAACCTCAGGCTTTATGTTAGGGGCATGAAATATTTAGTATGCAAATCCAGTACTGCTGTTTATGGATAACATATTAAGAGTCACCAATGCTGTAGTGCAATTAGGGACTTGAGACAAGTGTGCAGTCACCCAGATAGGTGGAAAATAACCGTAAAGAGGAAAAGAAGAAAAGACAACAAACAACTGCTTTAAATTACTGCAAGGGAAATTCAGATTAGACGTTAGGAAAACGTTTTAACAATCTGAGGGGTTAGTCACTGAAATAAATGACCCATGGAGATGGAGGAACCTCCAGGAGGATTACACCAACATTGGTCAGGAATGACGTGGACAGTGCTGGTCCTGCCTCTGATGATCCAGGGGAGCAGGGAGCCTCCCCAGGTCCCCTTCACTCCTCTGGCTGACAGCAGCCATGCTGTAAAAGGCTCCAGAGTTTATCTTAGTTCAGTTTCTTATCCCTAAAAAATCTAAAAAGTCCTCTGGCTCTTGTTACATTATCAGCTTGTTCTGTACTAAATATATCCTCATGCCTTATATCTGGGGTTTGCACACTGAGGCTTGTGCTGCATGCATTTTTCTCCAGGCTCGGCAGTGAGCAAGGTGGCCATTTCATCAGGCTTCTAGAACAAGCCTGTAATTGGGTCTTGCTAGTTTGCTTGGACTGTGCTTTTCTTGCCAATATTTGGCACACAAAGTGCTTATGCTCTTCACAACACTAAAGATCTCATCAGATGCTGATATTGAAAAAAAAACCAGCATCTTGCTTATAATTTCCTCAGTGTAGCTTTTTTTCCCCTCAGTTTTCAAACTTCCATTCAGTCCAGTAAATGGCTAATTTTAGCATTGTGCCAGATGTTCTGTTGCTATTGTCTATGTATCTTCAAGCTGGTCTGTAAACCAACTGGGATTAGATTTTTTGAGGTTTTTTCTGCCTTATCCCTTGCCAAAATTGGTGCCGTTCCTTCATGCAAAGTACATTTAAAAAGCTGATTAAAGTTGATTTAAATGTAGTGTGGTGGCATCACCTCCTCAGTGGGCTGTAAAACATCCAGGTGGCTTTGGGAAGAGAACTGAATCCAGACCTTTTGAGATAAAGCGAGTTAGTATGTTATTCCTGATGCTGACTGAATTATGTGACTGTTTTACAGGAAAAGAGAGTACAAGTCTCCCCACCATTGACAAGAGGACCAAGTGCCTTTATACCAGAGAATGAAGTAAGTTTGCAGTTAGTTGGAAAAGGCGGGTGGTAGCTTTTAAAATAGCAATACTGAAAGACAGTTCTATGACCCTGCTTGTTCCATGGTACCCAGATGAACTCCCTTGAGAGCAAGTGATGGTTTCTCTGGAGCAGGTTCCAGTGGGTAAGAACCACCCTGTCCTTGCACACAAGTGGTGCTGTTTGACATCTTTTCAGTCACCAGCACTTCTGGAGACAGCCATGAGTGACAGCTCTGCTCTTCTCAGGCAGCAGTTGAACACATTATTCATAATGCCAGACCTGAGGGGAGGCCTGTTCAGTATTGCAGCAGTATAATTATACAGCTCTCAGAGCAGTGTCTGACCTTCAGTTTGAGAGAGTTTGCAAGTATGACTTCACTCCTCAGACTGTAGCTGTGGCTCTTGAGAGAATTTATGGTTGAAAGGTATGGTTGGATTTCAGACTCAAGATTCTGCCAATGACTGAATGTTCGAGGTAAGCCCTGATTTGCAGTTTGCTGCAGTAGGTAGAAAGTTTGCTATGGTGGTGTTCTCTCATGGTCTCAATCTTCACAGAGTCTTATAGTTGCTAAAGACAGATAATTCACATGCCAGAAGGGCCAAAAAGACATTGTGAAAGATAAGATAGCCGCTGTTCTCTGAGCCTCTCTCCATGTATACGCCAGCAAGGTTTGAATTTAAAACCAAATGGAGAGGGTGTAAAGGATGCCAACAAGAAAACATAATTAAGCAAAAAGGAGGAGAGGTCAAAGAGTCTTTTAAACTTGGGAAAAGAGGAGTAGAATGAGTTCCAGCCAGTCAAACTTGTGGAGAGAACGCCACCCTTTCGCATGAAATACAAGGTGAACTTGAGATGCCAAATTTTGTAATGACCTAGTTTTTCTCATAAAGTCAATAATTATATTAAAAGTAGAAAAAGAAATGTAGTTAAAATTGTAACATATTTTGAGAGAATTGTTAATGAATTTATTTCAAAGCTGAGAAGCTGAGACACTTGGTACAGGCACTAGCCAAGGGTGCAGGAGAAATCTCAGAAAGGAGTAACCCAAGCGGTTGCCCAGTACAAGCAGGGACCCTCCAGCTGTATGGATAAAACAGCTATTCAGTATCACAAACAAATGCTAACTGTGGTTTGTTAAGCAAATTACTACCTTTTTCCCTCACTCCTTGTCATGAAATAACGGAGCAAATAGGAAGGATTTAGTTAGAGACTAGTAACACACTGAATGTCTCACAAATCTTGATAATAACACTGCTGGTGTCAAAGCCTGATTTATTGTTGTAATGGAAGGAATATGGGCAGAGCAATAACAACTTAATTGTAAAGGTTCCTTTAAAGCTCTTAAAGTGCCATAAGGCTTTAAAAGCAGAGCAAAAAAATATGTTTATGGATGGTAATAAATCAGGAGGAAATACATGCACAGTATGAAGAGGATAGTAATAGAGGTAAAGATAAATCTTAGAAATAATAATGTGGCATATTGCTATGCCTAATATAGCAACAGTGCAGTCCTATCTGACTATATTTTGATGCTGTCAGCAGAATTTCTATTCATAATTTATACTGTTACAAGGAAAATCCCTGGCAAGCTGAAGAAGATTAGAAGCCTATGTTTGAAAAGTATGATTTCCCCAAGAAAGCACTAAATGAGACAAAGATCTCTTAAATATACTTGCTGAAGAATAAGGGAGACTCCTTGCAGTAGAGCAAGGGATGTACAGTAGTAAGTGAGATAAAGTGATCTCTAATGTGTGAATAAACTTCTGACAGTAAAAACATTATTAAGGAAAACTGAGAAGGCATCATTTTGAGTACAAAACACAGAAAAGTTGTCATAATGAAGATGCATATGTAAAAATGATGGAGCTGCCTAACTGTGTAGCTGTTCCTCCCTTTCTTTCTGGGCTCATGAATTAAAATAGGAAAGTACACTGGTGAGAAGTGAAAATATAGTATGTTGTTGGTGGTTCTTTATATGTAACTTCTATATGAGATCTGATAGAAAAATATTTGAGACACGGTCCACTCATCCCATCACAAAGAAAGAAAACGTATTTGAAATAGAATATTGTGTCTTCTTGGTTTTTGGCACTTTCTAGCTTCATGTGCAGTAATCTATCTAAAATGTGTTCTCATGTCATGATGTTTGCAATAGTAAACTGGCTGATTTATTACTATGCAGTGTCAGAATAAATACTGGATACTCTAGTCTTGTGCTTGTAACTTCAGTGGTGAACATGTTGAGAGTGGCTGTTCTTAGTGATAAACACTGAGTAATAGCAGTAATACTGTGTCAGGGCTTGCAATGCAAGAGCTACTTATTCTTCTACTGTTTCATTTCATCTTGTGCCCAAGGTTTGGATTGGTTGGAATAATTAAAGAACAGCTTTTGTTTAAAGAAAGCATTAAATTCCTATTCTAAATAATACTTCAATGTTATGGACAAATTAGCATTTGATCTCCTCTTCAATTATACAAGCACAGAAGGGGTAGATTGCCAGGCTCTTTCTATAATTTAGTTACATAACCTAGTTCCTCTCCATTAATTTTGAAATTGGTTTTAGAGCTGAATGCTCGGGTAGTATGTGTCTATACAGGCTGCCTTCCACAAAGAATTTACTTTCCATTTAGTTCTTACTTACTTCCAGCTCTCTATACAGGTTTGACTTTAGCTGTTTTGGAAAGATCTACAGAAAAATGTTTTTGGTTTTTGTAGAAACATTAAAATAACAGAGGTTCTGTATAAAGTGCTCTTCAGTTCTCAGTATACAAGTAGGATCTGTATGTGTGTATTTGCATGCATGCAAGCATGTATGTTTGTAAATATACATCCAGATCTCCATCATTGCCTTTAAATCTGTACACAAGGAAACCTTTCATACCACAGTATGTTTCTCCCTGGAGCTAAAGCTAAAGAAAATCTCTCTCTCTCTCTGCTAAAATGTGTCCATCTTATTTTTAGGTTATGCAAGCAAATGGTTTGGATGAACGTACTAATCTTCTTGTGGAAGAATATTCTACGTCTGGTCGCCTGGACAACATCACACAGGTCATGAGTATCCATACTCAGTACCTGGAGTCTTTCCTCCGCAGCCAGTTCTATATGCTGCGCATGGATGGGCCCCTTCCTTTGCCCTATAGGCACTACATTGCTATAATGGTATGTACCAACAGCCTGTGGATCTTCTCCTGCAACTTTCACTTCTGTATTTAGAAAAGGAAGAAAAAAGGAAGACTTTAGAAATGAGAGATTAGTGTGATACTTTGACAGTGGGTGAATTTTTGTAGCAGATTTTTATCAGAATAAAGCATGCCTAGCCAGAAAGTTTTCAGTGAGAAAGGAAAATAGGCAATGTACCTCATTCCCTGTTTCCTGCAGCGATACACTTCTCACATGCCAACATCACTGTGCAGCAGTAAGATGAGTGGACTCGACTCACAACAAATTCCAGGTAGACACTAGGAGAGCAATTTTTACTGTGAGGATGTTGAGACATTGCAGTGGGAACCACGACAGGTTCTGTGATCTCCAAAGCTGGAGATCTTGTCTGGACAAGGCTCTGAGCAACCTGTTCTAAGTCAGCCCTACTGTGAGCAGGGGATTCTCCTCTAGTGTTCTTTTCCAACCTAAATTATATTCTCCAGTTCAGAGTAATCAAATGTATTTTTATTAGAGAATCCTCCATACTGTATAGAAATGCATTGCAATGTAACACAAGGCCTTAGGAATGAAATTGTACTTAAAACATTGTTTTGTGTTAATAACCTGTCTTCCACCCTCAGCAAAATCAGATTACATGATAATGTGCTGCACTTTTCCCTCTGTGTTTAATTATTCCAGGCTGCTGCCAGACATCAGTGTTCCTACCTAATAAATATGCACGTTGATGAGTTTCTAAAGACTGGTGGGATTGCAGAGTGGTTGAATGGTTTGGAATACATTCCCCAAAGACTGAAAAATCTGAACGAAATAAACAAACTCCTTGCGCACCGGCCCTGGCTAATCACAAAAGAGCACATTCAGGTACCTCTTCAGTCATGCCCTGTAAATAGCAATAAATGTGTGGTAAAAAGGACTGCCAAGCACTATGTGGGTGTCGGGTTAGGCTCCATTACCCTGAGTTAAAAAATTCAGGGAAGTACTAGTGCATCGAACAAGCTAATAAATTCTCCTGTGTGACAGGAGAATTTGTGTGACAAAGCCAACAAGATTTTCTTTCTAGGAATAGCATTGGCTAAAATGGCCCCAAAGGGAAAGAGGTAATCTGTTAGTTGTCTCTTTTTTTTTCATCCAGTGAAGTTTGTGTGCAAGAGGAATATGGTATTATTGGAAGAAAATAATTGATCCCTTTTTAAAATGCATAGTGTTTTATAGAAAAGCTGGAGGCCAAAGGAAATTTTAAATTTACACATTTTTTATTCTCATTTCAGAAACTTGTCAAGACTGGGGAAAATAATTGGTCTCTTCCTGAACTGGTGCATGCTGTTGTCCTGTTGGCACATTATCATGCCTTGGCAAGTTTTGTATTTGGTAGTGGCATTAATCCAGAGAGAGATCCGGATACATCTAATGGAGTCAGACTTATAGCAGTCAACAACTTCTGTGTCTGTGATCTTGCCAATGACAACAACATAGAAAATGCATCCCTCACAAGTAGCAACTTTGGGGTTAGTGTTGCAAGAAAATTCTTTTGCTTGCCTCTGTTTTGCATTAGAAAACTTTTCCTTTCTTTCCTGCTTAAATTTCACGGTAGTTTGAAAGTCTTTGTCTACTTTACGGGAGTGCTCGAGTCTTGTAATTCTTACATTCATTCTGGCAATTTTCTGTATAATCCATGGAAAACCAGGATTGTAACTGTGGATGGTAGTCAGAGGAATATGATTTTGATAGTTAATCTCACAACCCATTTGGCAAGACTAAAACTTTGCTTTCGGCAGAAAGCTTCAAGTTCCAGTTTCTTCAGACAGTGTGGCATTGAGTGGAGCATGGTGGCATCCATTTTCTAATGTGGAATAAAAAAAAGAAATGGAAAAAAATAGTAGTAGTAGTAATAATAATAATAGTAATTTTAACTTCAAGGCCTACAATCACAAAACAGGTCAGTTCTGAAACACTTCCATGTAGATGGGAGGAAATGTCTGAAATAAAATTACTTAATTCTTCATGCTGGTGTTTCAGTCTTGAATCAACAGAGAGCTTTGATTACTAGTTAATTAACTTAAATGTGAACTTTTTTTCCTGAAAGGGGCTCTATAATGCTTTTGAAGACATGTCCTTGAATTAATGCTGACTGATTAATTAGCCTCGTTGCCTTTGATGGAAGGTCAGGACTATGAGAGACTCGCTAGATATAATTTTTACAATTAGCAGAAGAATGTGAACATGTGATCGCTTAGTTCAATTGCTGTGTCTTAAACTTCTAGCCTGTAAGACATGCTAGCTCATACAACAAGGGTGTCTTACTCCCCATTTGTACTGGGCCAAGGGTTGCTGCTGAGTCTGTGCTGCTGGTTAAGCACTGAGCAGCATACTAGAAAACAATTATAGCTATAGGCAGAAGAACAGACTCGAAAAGATGGAAAAAAACCACTCAAACAATTTATCTTATGAAAAATCTAAATGATAAGTACATTTCAGAGCACCCAAAACTTTGATGTATTTCTAGGAAAAAGTGGTTTGTTTTCCTCACAAAAGTAAGAAAAAGGGTCAACATAATAGTTATTTTGATCATACATAGTGAAAAGCACTGATTTGCCATCTGAGGTTGTGTTTCTGCATTGCAGTATTGCACTGTATCTCTTCAGAAACATATTTTCATTACCAATAGACTGAAAAAAGTTACCTTTGTATTAAAAGTTGTTTTCTGATAGATGTAGGGCCCACAGATGGATTTTTCTGAGCTATCTACATGAGGGAATGTATAAGTGACTGTGGTTCCTACATTCAAACACCACCTCTATGCTGTTAATCCCACTGCAGAAATTACTGCAATAGGTTACATTAACGCTTCCCAGCTCCTGTCTTCTTGCTGTCTGAAAGCTGTTGTCTGTGCTGTATGTGACAAAATGCATTCTGGCTTCAGTTTTTGTGTTTGCTGCTGCTGTCTGGTTTTGAGAGCACTTGTTGTCAAGCATGAAATCCGAAGATGACACACATTGTCTATCTTCTAATTTTGCAGAATGTCATGGTGTTTTTGCAGATTGCAGATTCTTTAAGTGAGCTGGAGGCCTTGATGGAAAGGATGAAGAGACTACAAGAAGATAAAGAGGATGAAGAAGCCTCTCAGGAAGAAATGGCAACTCGCTTTGAAAAGGAGAAGAAGGAGAGTCTGCTAGTAATTAGTGGAGGTATTTGTGCTTTTCCAGTTCCATTTTGTTTATGCTTTGTAAGAAAAAAATACTTGAGGGTAGTTCAGTGACTGAAACTTTTTCTGTTTCTTTATTCTGGCTCTTCATGAAATAGGAGTGTATTAGGTGGTCTTGTCACTTGCTTCATCTGCTTAAGATTTCTTGATCGTCAAATAACACCATCCTTTTTACAACTTGAAATTTAGCTTTTATATATTAAAAAAAAGACTGTAGGCTTCTTTAAAAAGTAGTGAGTAAATTTCTTTTTCTGTATATGTTCTATATCTTCAAAATAATTCATTCATATAAATATTCACCTATACTTCAAAGGTTTACCTTCTACAGCACTTAGAACTTCAATGACACTCCTAAGTAGCCTTCGGATATGACATTTAGTTTAGGAATTAGATTGGAATGAGACTCAACTTCTTCACCGTTTACTGCCCAGCTGGAAAGGACATTCATAACTTGCCGTTCTGAGTGATCATGCTGCCGTGCTGTTCCACTGCCTGTGTTGTGATAGAGATTCATAGCATTTTTTTATTTTTAAATAATGTTCAAAATTCTGAGCTGAAACCTTCTTTTCCATATTCTTCATATGCTCTGGAGGCTGCCATCTCTAACAAACCACAAAACAAAGTCTACTTCCTGTAGACAGGAATATGGGGGTTTGTTTGCAAAGAAAGTGTTAGAAGAAAGAATATTATTAAGGCAATCAGAATCTCCAGCTATTTCCTCATAGTAGAGGCTACTTGAAGGTGATTGCTTGTATCATTTTGAGAAGTGACCCATAAAATGCTTCACATTTTACTACACTATTCTTAGCGAATTTAGTTCTCAGTAGCTTTAGACCAAATGTGTTTTAAGGTATCAGTGTCTTTGTGCAATGAGCACAAAAGGGAGGAAGAATGTGTTGTGGATCAGCAGAGAGATTGTTTTGTGGATCTCTAGGAACATGTAAAGTCTCTGAAAGAAGATACATCCAACAACATTGTGGCTGGATATTTAGAACTGGTCATTGTATATTCTTGCTCTGTTTTCCTATGGTCAGGCAGTGTTGGCAGTGCAGATAAACAGATAGCCATTGCAGCTGCATTATCAAATCATGAGTTCCATGAGTCTCTGCAACTTCAGGCATATGAGGAAGAGGACTGAAGGGTTTTTTGGATGAGGTTGCTAATAGTTTTATTGACTTTCCTCCCCCTTTGCCTTTTGCTGATTTTAGTTGAGGGGTCTGTGTGTGTTAGGCCTTTACCCTTTCATGAAATTCAGTGCTTGTCAGGAGAGAGGAGTGTATGTATACAGTTTTTTTATTCTTTGCTGAGAATTTACTGTGGCAGATGTTGTGCAAGCTTCTTCCTACACAGTTATGTTTTGATTGTTTAATGAGGCAAAGAGGAGATAAAGCACTTCTGCAATTCTTAAATTAACTGACTTTTCAAGGTGCTAACTGGGGACATATGGCAACTGTTCTGTCAATGCATGTGGAAGCGAGCCACAATTTTAACATCAGGGTCAAATGCAGTCAGCTATGCAGTAGTCGACTTCTGCAGAGGTAGTTACACAATCAAGCCACCTGTTTATTTGTGAGGGAAATATTGATTCCTGATAGAGAACCTGTGCTTACTTAGTGATATGTTTTGGAGCTCTTTGAAGATGCTTAGTTACTAGAGCTTCTGGCAGAATTTCACCCTGATGTACTGTAGAGCTCTTTGCTTTCATATAATCTTCATCTGATATTTACAAGTGGAGTGCTGCATTGCTGTCTGGTTGCTCATACTCCAGATTATGGAACAGCTGGTGGGACTCCTGACACCATACCTGCTCAGTGTAGCAATCCTGTTGTCAAGGGTACATTTTTCTGTTTCTTGGCCAAACACAATGACCTTACTAATGGGATTCACCTTCCTGATTTAAGATATCTAGCCTCCCTCAGAAGTCAGCAGAGAGAAAAGCAAACCACCAGTTTGAAGTTTAGCCCATCTCTTCCCTTTTTGTAGAAGTATGTTAAGATGTCTGGTATAGGCTGACGTTTAGTGGGCTCAGTGAAAGCGATGGATCCCATACAAGCAGATTAGGATTGAAATGTTTCTTTCCTTTGTACCACTATTCTCCTTTGTATCACTCTTCTCCTTTGCACAACTTCTAAAATTGTCCTCTAGTCCTGTCATAGAGTGGTAGATGGAAGTCGGCACTAAATCACATGCTTGCCTAAAGCAAAACGTTTTGCTGTTTTATTCACAGCATTTGATGATGAAATAGTTTCTACAGATGTCTCCCGTTATATTGAAGATCCTGGGTTTGGGTACAAAGACTTTGCAAGGCGAGGAGAAGACCATCTGCCAACATTCAGAGCTCAGGTACCATCACTTTAAAGCACATTCACTCAACGAATGTTCATATATCTCAATACAGGGCAAGTAGCATAAAAGAGGTTGTAGTGGGGCATGTTTTTTGCATGCTCCTTTTCTTGTCCTCATCCATTAAATAACTCACAAGCTTCCACAAATGTCCCTTAGATGGAGTCTTTTACTATTTTTAAATCTCAGACAAGGTAGTACATGGCTTTCTGTCTTATGTCCGTTATTACCAGTATTAATGTTTTAAAACTGTAAAGCATATCGCTACGTCTAGAATAAAAGTGAAAGGCAGAAAAGAAACAATTTCTTTCCCATCGCTCTAGATGCTGTATTAAAAAAAATCCACTGGAGGAACTCTTTATTCCTGTCATTTTTTTAATCTAGTATTCTCTGCCCAGTGGTTATCAATACCTGTATATATATATATATATATCTGTGAGAGCGATTTAGTGAGTATTGTTCTCATATGTGCACCATATCACTGGATTTTGGATGCTGGGAAAGAAAAGGAGTTCCTAAAAATGATTACTGAAGTTTTTGATGTATTTTAATACATCTTTTCCAGTGCTATTGAAAGAACAGCATGTACATTTTACCTGTACATTTTCTTATATATTGGCATCTTTTTCCATGACCAGAATCCTGAACTTTATGAAATACGTAACAGGAGGGACATTCTAAGTTGTTGTGTTCTATCTTAATAGAGTACATTAATGAGCAGTCTAGTAATAAATTGAAAGCAATGAAAGAAACCTTAAACCAAATCAGACAACTTCAATTAAAACAACAGTGGGTGCAGGAAAACTTCATGGTCAGAAGATGTATCTAAGACTGTAAAATACAGAATCCACGATCACTCTCAGGAAATGTATTTATCTGTATAGCAATCTCTACCTGTCTGGATAATTTACTCTGTGGTCTTCACATGAGCCTGAAGTAACTTGTTACTGCCAAAAAGAATAAGGCAAAGTCTCTGCCTCTAAATCAAACGTTCTGCTTAACTACTTTAGGAGCAGCTGGCTCCCTTGGATAAAAGCTCCAGAGAAACTGAAATTGGAACTAAAACATCTCTGCTCTTAAATAAACAGAAGAGCTTCTGGCCTACATTCAAAGGAGTCACCTTGATAATTTAACTTTTTTATGTCTGGCTCTTAACAATTAGGTGTATATACCCACAGCCTCAAAAATGCTTTGCTGCTAATGGTATTTAAATTGCAGTAGTATCCCAAACTCCTGCAAAAAAATCTAATCTTTATTCTGATAAAGCAAGACTGCTTTATCTCTGTGGGTTTAAATTCAGTAATAGAAAAAAGTATTCTATACACAGCAGAATGTGTTTAAACTTGAGGGTTTTTTTTGGTTTTTTTTCATTGTTAGTGAACAGCACTTTACCACTTCTGGGCCTTTTGGCTTTCAGAGGCTTTTGTGATGCCCAGGGTGTCCTGGACACCTTTCCAGGGCTGTGAAGGTAGGGCATATTTCTCACTTGCCTTTTAGTCTTTTGTACTGGCAGCCAGAGGCCCAGTGTGATGTTGTGGCATGTTTCAGATGTCACTGAATGCCTCTGTTAGACAACCGAGTAGTATCCTACATGCTCTTCCCCACTATCCTAATCAGGGGGACAGTAGAGTAGACATGCTCCAAAGTGCCTGGGAGAAGACCCTTGCCCAACAGTACCTTTTGAAAACAGCTAGGCACAGGAAGGACGTGGAGATGATGCCCTTGATTGTTAAAGTTGCCATCAGTGATTGAATGATCGAACACTTGCCAAGGATGTGGGCAAACTAACATGTTCTGTGTGACCACTGCACAAACTGTGGCTGCACTCTGCTCCGAAGCAGAGTGGTTCTCCACTGCCGATGCCACGCAGTCTGCAAAGATTTCCCGTTCCCGATAGGAGCAGGCAAGCTTTTATCCTTGCAGTCCAGATGATTGTCCAAGACCAAAGCAGCCTGGATTTTATAATTTTTTTCAGGGACCGTTCAGTGCTTTAACCAATGGTTTTACATCCTATCTGGAAGTAAATAGTCCATCTCTGCTCAGAGCTAAGCATCAAAGCCTTCAAGAGACACAAGTTTTTAAACTTACAGGCCAATCCCACATAGAATGATACTTTTCAGAGTGACAAAGCAGAAGAAAATTCCCTCAGCACTTCAGGAGAACCTTAGGGTTTTTTCTACTGTAGGCTAATGATATCCAGCTGGAGATAGGGTGTTGCAATATGATATTCATTGCAAAGAAGTCTGGGGGAATGGAGCAGGTGATGTGGATGAAGAATTCAAAATGCAAACTTTAGGAAGAGAATTAAGTTATTATTATCAGACAACAAAAACTGTTGAGCCATAGAGAGGATCAGATAGGGAATTCACTTCATTTGTACATTTATATTTTCTTCTCTTCCTGCAGGACTATACTTGGGAGAATCATGGCTTTTCCCTTGTAAACAGGCTTTATTCTGATATTGGGCATCTTCTGGACGAGAAATTTCGGATGGTATATAACCTCACATATAACACTATGGCAACACATGAAGACGTTGATACAACGATGCTAAGAAGAGCTTTATTTAACTATGTCCACTGTATGTATGGAATCAGGTATGGAGAAAATCCTCTGGCTTAGGAATAGACTTTTAACTATGTAAACAGAAAAATGAACCATGTGAAAAGCATGATTTTAGACTCTGGGTGTTTAAAGTGAAGACAATACCTCAGTCTGGAAGTTAGAGTGGGTTTGCTGGCATATCAGTATAACTTTTCCTTCCAGTGCAGAAAAGAATTATCAGGATATCAGGATAGAAATTATTACAGAAATGTCTTCTCTGAAGCCAGTCTGAAACCTTTGTTCAGGAAAAACAACATCTCAAAGCAAGTTCACAAACAACACAAAGTTGGGCAGGGAGGGTAGGAAGGCTTTGCAGAGGGATCTGGACAGGCTGGATCGATGGGCCAAGGCCAGTTGTATGAGGTTCAACAAGGCCAAGTGCCAGGTCCTGCACTTCAGCCACAACAACCCCAGGCAGTGCTACAGGCTGGGGGAAGAGAGGCTGGAAAAGTGCCTGGTGGAAAAGGACCTGCGGGTGCTGGTCAACAGTGGCTGAACATGAGCCAGCAGTGAGTCCAGGTGGCCAAGAAGGCCAATGGCATCCTGGTCTGTATCAGCAATAGTGTGGCCAGCAGGACCAGGGCAGTGATCGTCCCCCCTATACTTGGCACTGGTGAGGCCACACCTTGAATCCCGTGTTCAGTTTTGGGCCCCTCACAACAAGAAGGGCATTGAGGTGCTGGAGCATGTCCAGAGACAGGCAGCAGAGCTGGTGAGGGGCCTGGAGCACAAGGTCTATGAGGAGTGGCTGAGGGAGCTGGGTGTGTTCAGTCTGGAGGCTCGGGGGGGACCTTCTCGCACTCTACAACTACCTGAAAGGAGGTTGCAGCCAGGTGGGTGACACTCTCTTCTCTCAGGTAACAAGTGACAGGATGAGAGCAAACAGCCTCAAGTTGAACCAGGGGAGGTTTAGGTTGGATATTAAACGTCTTCACAAAAAGGGTTGTGAAGTACTGAAACAGACTACCTAAGGAAGTGGTGGAGTCACCATCTCTGGAAGTGTCCATGTGGATATGGCACCTTGAGGACATGGTTTAGTGTTTATCATGGTGGTAGTGCTGACTAAACAGTGGACTTGATGGTCTTAAAGGTCTTTTCCAACCTTAACAATTCTATGATTCTGCTAAGCCTTTTAGATGTTAGCAGGTGGTTTTCTATCATGTATAATGCTGCAAAAGACAATGCTTTTAAAAACTTATATCAAACAGAGTGATTACCTGTGTTATTTTTAGGTATGATGACTATGATTATGGGGAAGTTAATCAGCTACTTGAACGCAGCCTGAAGGTTTACATAAAGACAGTGACCTGCTACCCAGAGAGAACTACCAAGCGCATGTACGATAGTTATTGGCGTCAGTTCAAGCACTCGGAGAAGGTATGTATCTCAAAGCCAAAGTGGCTTCACAGAGACCCCTGTGCTGTTTAAAAATGAAAATATGGGGACACCTAAAAACAGCAGTATCTATCAAATGAACTGTTTTAAATCAGAGAAAACCAAATGAGATTAATTCATTGAGTGTTAGTTACCAGTTTTACAAAAATACTTCTTAATATACTGGAAATACTTTCATTTTTTTATTATTATAATTTTGAATGGCTTCTTTATAAAATGGACAACTGTAAAAGAAAAGTAGATAAACTTGAGAATGCAGAAGTGGTGAACTATGCCAATACTTGGGATTTAGAAATCAAAAAATACTTAAACTCATATATACATATATATAATCTTCATGGTGTTTCTTAGCAATAAAGATGTCAACATGCCTTCAGATATCCCCATGAAATGCTTCCTGACAAGGGTTCAGTGCTTGTGTGCCTGCTAGCCTAATCTGGAATGGAAACTGTTCCTTATTCTGTGTTCCTATAGTGCTCAAAGGTGCTAGTAAAGAAAACAAAATACAATTCAGGAAGAACTAACACCATTAAGATTTAAAAAAGGTATATTGGGAATTCTCAGATGGAAGATTGCTTAAAGCAGCAGTTGAGGCTAGTTTCTTGCAGTCTTGGGATGTTGTCCATATTGGCATACTACACAACTGTCTCAAGAGGAACTGCAGTACTGCAGGAGAATACTGGAGGAAAGGACATAGTTTTCTTCAGCAATACTTTAGTAAAGGTAGGAAATTTTAGCCTAAATGAATAATGATGTTGCATTCAGAGGTGAGCTAAATGGCTGATTTAACTTTTTTAACAGGTTCATGTCAATCTACTTCTAATGGAAGCTCGGATGCAAGCCGAACTTCTGTATGCCCTTCGTGCCATAACTCGTCACTTAACCTGAAGGATTTGCTGGGCAGGAGTAAAGAAGTTTTTACTGAGTATGTAAAGACCTTTTGAAATAGATACACACCAGAAGCTGTTTGTGATGTAGCATCAGGTTATTCAATTCTCTAGTGTCAAAGTTTAGCCGTGCTTCTTGGCGGCTGTAATGTGCAATGACGTGTTTTATTTTCTTGATGCTTAACATTACTAATGATAACAAAAGTAACACTGAGGAGCACTACTCTGCATTGTTTCCGCCTGGATTTCTGCGCAGTGGTCAGGATCCTGAAACTGTTTTTATTATATCCAATCCTAGCGCTTTGTTCTTTAAGCACTGGAGTGAAGTGCTTAGAGACTTCTTTTTCCAAGCAATCATTTTTCAGATTAGTGGAGTCCAGCAGAAGATCAGTTCTGCCTGTCCTGAGAACGTACCACCATGTCCTGACTCATGACAGAGACACGCGGGCTGTGTTGCATTGAAATGCCCACTGGATTCTTCTGTGTCTCCCGGAGACTGCTGCCAGTCACTGTCTTACTACAGCAATTGGAGGTGATGCGAGATGTGGATGCAAACATCGAGCACACTTTAATGTGAAATCAATCTTGATAAATCCTACAGCATGCTACTGAAGTGCGAAATTCATCTGCTTTGTCATGCCCCTTCCCAAGAGAAGAGGCCTCATGATTTGCCATTTCAGTCACACTTACTGTGTTTCAATCATGCATAACCTTGTTTTACTGACAGTCACCCTCAGTTGTCCTGACAATATCCATGCTCATCACATGTTGCAATTTTTTTAGTTGGCACCTATAAAATTAATACGCAGGCTGACCAAAAATAGGGTTGTGGGGTTTTTTTGCACTCTCTCCTTTATCAATGTTGTAACTAAGGAAAGTAAAGGAAGGCTAGCATATCTGTTCTTTCATATTGGATGTATAGAAATCTACTTCCCATAACTTTTTCATAGCATGAAATTGTAATATTCAAAGTTTAAAAAGTTTCTATGCATTAGTGTGAGTGAACAAAAGAAAAGTGCAATATTTAAAAAGAAAGCAAGCTTTTTTCCCTGACATGCCACTGCTAAAGTGTCCTTTTTATATAGCCATAAAGAAATTTTAAAACCAAATTTCTTTATTGTCTAAGGCCTAGCAGTTTTGTTTTAGCTTTTACGGCTTAAGACAACCTGACACTGAGATGCCAAAGCATCCCCAAAACAAAGCATTTTTGGACAACCAGTAATATTGGGGAAGGGAAGAAATAAGCTGCCAAAAATGTCACACTTTTGTGCTGGTTTTTGTTGCTTTTGACTAATTTTTAAGAGCACAAAATGTTGATATTTATAGCTTTATTTTGTATTGCATTAATGAACCAGTGAAGTGCCTAAAGAGATGCTTAAACTTACCCAGTAGAACACAAGTTGTCACTGCTTCAACTTTTGTCTGTTGGTTTGGACTTTTCATATTTCTGTTGAGGAGGGTGACCTTTATTTCTGTGGCATACATTCAAAACTAACTAGTCAGGTTTGATTTTCATATTCCATTGGATTGTAGAAATTAATACAGAATTTTTTTTCATTAGTGATTGCAGAATAGTTAAAAAAATACTACCAGTCATATTTTGACACTTTTCATTTGCAAAATCCTGGACCAGTACTCTTCTAAAGTTAGTTTTCTCTTTTTTCCCTTTTATGATCCTTGCTGTGACTTCGCATGTTGGTTTTTCTGCTTTATCTATCTGTTCCAGATTGGAAAGCTAAATGATTGTACACTTTTCTGCACTTTCAGACTGCAGACTCTGCATGTGAAAACCTTTTGAGGAAGAAATCAGTAATTAATTTTTTTAATGTCATGTTGGCTATTTAGAAAACTACCCAACAGACAGCATCAGACTGTCTTCTAGAGAGAGCATTGGATAGAACATCAGATTTATTTATCTTGTATAGCTAACTGCAAAGATTTCTCAGAATTATTGAGATGCTCATATGTATGAACTTAGATTAACTTTCTAAGTTGTTATGATTCTTCTTCCTCCCTCCTGTGATTGTAGTGCCCATACATAATGGCTTTTGTGCATAGAACAGTTCTGCTGAGAGAAGTTTTCATACAATACTTTTGCTTTTTTCAAGTGATGGGAACTGTTCAGTACTATTTTGAATTCCTTTGTTTTGAAAAGTCAAGTAGTTCTCAAGAAGCACAGCTGAGCTCTGGAAAGGAGGTGAAATTAGATTTGGGTAACTAATATGATGGCTTAGTTTCCCTTCAGAAATGCAAAGACTTCTTGGGTAGGTTGAGTTTTACATTTGGAATCATGAGTGCCTTTACTTCTTTCATATGAAATATACTTGCTAGCTCAAATGCCTTCTGAGCAAAGTACATGACCAGATTTGAAATACAGAAACCGTAAATGGATTGCTTCATAAAATTTGTAGTAAACCAGTGTTTTGTTTCGGTTTTTTTAAGGTGCCATATCAAGTCACATATGGCCTGCAAGACATTCCGTCATAGGAAATGTCATTGTACAACTAGTTTGCTATTTCAATTTTTTTTTTAAATATTAAATGCAAACTTGAAACATCTGGTAAAGTTTTCCACGTGGCATTTTTTTTTTTCAAAGTATTGCATTTACAGTGCAAGAATTTATAGCCTAGTTTTTACAATCAAATTTTGGGGTTTTAATAGATGTTTGTTCAGAATAGGTGTTTAAAGTCAGACAGTGGTACCATAATTTTTTCGCACACTTTAGGTTCACACTGTGCCAAATTTTAATGTGCAAGTGTTCTTGGATTTTTTTTGCGTTTTTAAGCACTCGTGAATGTGAATCTTCACACTTCATTAATATTTTTCCTAAGAGTATGGTAATCATTGGAAACGTAGATACTCTCCCTCTGTGTTCCTTTATTGAAATTGGTTATTACCAGCATTGTTAGTCTACAAAATCCCAGCCATGACCAACATAAAAACAAAGTGTACAGTCTCCTGTCTACTGAAGAGAAAGCTTGGTAGGTACAAATTAACCAACTAGCACAGGGAACACTGTAAGTAGGGAACAGAGCTTTTGAACATGGACAGCTTCTTATCATTGCAGAGTCACTTTAAAATGTGTTGCAATAGAGTACATCCTTGCTGAAATTCCTACATTCTTTTTTGTAATAAAGAGAAGTGAAAAAGGTGCCAATTGGAGAAAGCATTTACATTTTCCAGGACACTCTACCCACAGCTGAACATCACGAGACTGTCATCATACAAGAACAGAAATAATTTTTAAAACAGAAATAATAATTTTAAACTTGGGTGCATTTTGTACAGATAGCTGCTACAGCTACTATTGTAGCAGAATTTTGGTGAGCTGTAGATGGATTTATTTTCATCAAGGCTGAACTGAAACATATATCCTTTACCCTAAAGCCTTCATTAAAATGAAAATCAGAGAATCATAGAATATGCTGAGTTGGAAGGGACCCATCAAGATCGAGTCCAGCTCCTGGTCCTGCACAGGACCATCCCCAAGAGTCACACCATGTGCCTGAGAGCACTGCCCAAACACTTCCTGAATTCTGTAAGGCTTGATGCTGTGACCACTTCCCTGGTGAGCCTGTTCCAGTGACCAACCACCTTCGGAGTGAAAAACCTTTCCCCGATATCCAACCTAAACCTCCCCTGACACAGCTTTGTGCCATTCCCTCGAGTCGTGTCACTGGTCATTGGTCTTGAGACTGAAGAGATTGGTGAGGTCTCCCCTCAATCTCCTTGAGGCTGAACAGACAAGTGACCTCAGCTACTCCTCATATGGCTTCCCCTCCAGATCCTTCACCACCTTTGTTGTCCTCCTTTGAACACTCTCTAATAGTTTAACGTCTTTTTTATATTGTGGTGCCCCAAACTGCACACAGAACTCAAAGTGAAGCTGCACCAATGCAGAGTAGAGCAGGACAATCATCTCCTTTGACCAGCACCTTGATCCTTGAAAAGGATGTACTTTCAGCTGTAAGAGTTAAAGAATTGTCACTATCAGCTCTTCCTATGTATTAAAAAAAGCCTTTAAGGACAGGAAAATCAGTGATTGTAAACAATTATATATGTGGGTCTCTATAAATGTAAAACAGATCAGAACAGAACAAAAAGGAAAACATTTTGCTGCTCTGTTACTTGAGTGCAGAAGTTCAAAGCACCAAATTCTTCAAAAGTATTTTTGTTTGTAGTGATGCTGATAGATATTTTCATGGGTTTGGAAAAAGCAGCTAGCTGCCTAAATTTCAGTGGACATTTAAGCACCCAGGCACTCGGCAAAATCCTAGCAGGTGCCCACTTGCATTTTTGAGTCAGATTTTTAAAGAAACTTAGTCACCTAAATTCAACAGAATACAATTAGTTTCCATAGAGATTAAAGGAATAATGTGTACCAGATCCATGTGATTTGCAGCAATTGTTAATGAAATGGGTTGTTTTGGGGACTTAATGTAGGCTTACAGAAATCTCTCTCAAAGCAGTTAAACTGTAAGCTGCTGCTCTTGCAGAACAGGTTCTCAATGCTTCTCATGCATGTGTGTTTTCCATGAACATAGGCATGCATTTCAGGCTCATGTTCCAGAATTTGGACTCCCTTTCAGAAGAGCTGGATTATTTAACTTCTACTTGCAGAAAAGATTCATTTGAGGTAGTAAGTGGATAACTTGTGCCTGGGCTAAAAAGTTTTGGCTAGAAAGAAATACTGAAGTCTTCTTGATCTCAAGTGATGTTCTTTCAGTTACTTTCCTTAGAGGTTTGGATCCTTCTCCCGTAAGGGATGATGTTGCACAAAATAAAGGAAGAGGGGAGTGGATTCATTTTAAATGAACTTTCCCAGAGCAGATCTGAATATAAAGGTGTAAGAATTAATTTTCTGTTAATGATCATTCCAAGAGCTGGACAAAAATGTCAGTTTTCACTATCTGAACTTCAGATTTACAGTCCCTAATGTCCCCCAGCACTATGTCTGTCTGAAGAGATGCATCCACCAGCTTTTCTATATCTAGGAATTGTAAGTGAAAGCTTTTATCTCCAAATGAAAATTAATTTAGCATTTCATACCTACTGCATAGATCACAGGTGTGGGAGATGGAGAGAGCACAGTAGTATGAGGAAACTTTAGGAGCATCTTGATCAGTGTTAATTTATTCCGTAGAGCACATTTCCTGTCATGTGGCCATGCTGCTGCTCCCCAAACACACATCAGGTCTGTTTTGCAGACATTTAATCCTTCTGCCACTCATTAGGGGCAAAAATTGTCATTTTCCAACCTGTCACCACCCCTGTCCTTCATCAAGTGCTTCCCGTCTTCCCAATTCACAGCCCTGAGCAGCCCTGTCCCATGCAGGGACAACCTCCCAGCCTTAACTTTGAAAAAACAAGATTGAGTTGAGTGCAGAGGCTCTTTCTTATGTTTAGAAACACTTAATTGCCATATTAGGTTATTTCTGGACAGGAAAATTCTATATGTGGTTTGAAAGGATGAAACTCAGTATATTTAGGTAGCATTTGCCAGTAGCATGTAAGAGCCCATCTCTGGAGTTACAGTAAAAATCCAGTGGATACACTAAGGAAACACTTTCTTTGGCGAAGCACCCCATGTTTGAGCTATTCAACTGTGCAGGTTTCTCTGAGGGACATCTAATGGGGGATTTGAGGTCCCCTTGTGCCAGGCAGGCTTACAGGGCCATTGGGTCAGCATCCCCTCAGGTGTCTTGCAGCCTGGCAGACTGCATCCAGCCTCTGCAACAAGAGGATTTGGGTTTTTCACTTACCAATGGGAAAAAAATCCAAATGCATGCTGTGGAGTGGCTGCTGGAGACAGCGGCAGGGTTGGGTGTTTCTATGGGTACTGAGTATCACCAGGGCTTGTGGAAAATAGAAACCTGAATTCTGCCCTTGTTCCTGACGGCAGTTAGAGGTGGTACTGAAGATGCCAATTATTTTACTAACTGTGGGGAGCAAGCTGTGCTATCAGCATCAGGAGGTACAGATCACAGGCATTCTCGAGGGGACACGGCCAGCACAGGAGTTGATGTGTTGGTCAGTTGCAGAAACTTCACTGATGTGTCCAAGTGGTTCTTTTCTATGCCTGTGCATAGGGGAGATGGTGGAAGATGCCTCCTTCCAAGGTGTCCAGAGGGCTGCTTTGGGAAAAGGGCTGGGACCCTTTGCTTACTCCACAGGTGGAGCAGGGGAAGGGAACCAGTCACTTCTGCCCAAAAAAAACTTGCCACTGTTGAATTGCATTTTCTTGCCCCCATCAGGCATTTGACGGGAGTTTTCAGGCAAAATGGGTGAATCACCAAGCATTGTGTCTCCAGCTGAGGGGTCTGAGGGGCAGCGACAGCAGCAGGTCCGAACATGCACTGTCCAAAACTGTTTCTCATTCCTCACTTCATGCTCATGTCGTGCCACCAGACCCAAACCTCTTCCCTCCAACCCGGCTGCCACATGCCCAGGTGCCTGCAGGAGCAGCCCACTCAGGGTGGTGAGTAATGCAGCCACTTCTAGGGAAAAAATAATAGTATTTAGGCTACAGCCCTTGGACTCTGCAAGGCAATGCAGTCAGAGATCTTTCCACAACTGTGACCGGAACTGGATATAAACTGTAGCTTAAAAAAATAGGAATTTTGTAAACTTGAAATCTCTTGGTTTTACCCTCTTCTCCTTTTGCTGGAAAGCCACACGATGAATGTATACGCTTTATCTTTCTATCTGACATAACTGAAAATCAGACTGCCAACTCCTTGTTTTGTATTAGCCTTTTTTTTTAAAAAAAAAAAGTTTGTGAGCAATATATGTAGCATGCTGTGAACGTCTGTTTTGATCTTTATAGTTACTCTTTAATCCATCAGTATTAACACCAGTTCTTTTTTGTGTTCCCCTTGGTACTTCGTATGCAGTGTAAGCAGAAGCTGTGATCGGCTTTGCAGTCCTGTGCCATGTTACTGTAACTCCTTGATTTTTTAGGAAGCACCTGACTGTGGGCCACCCTGGGGCAGGTAGCGTGCCCGTACACGACTGCCACTTTTCGGTCTCTTGTACTATGTATAGTTTTAAGTAGAATAAGCTTTTTAACAGAATATTGATGCAGTTTATGAGTCACGCAGGCTGCAAGTGTCTGGTGTGTGAGAGTCTTTGTATTTATAGTTGTTGGGGTTTGGTTTTTTGTTTTGTTGTTGTTTTTTTGTTTTGTTTTTTTTTAAATTCATAAAGTAGCAAACTTGATAAACATAGCCACTTTAAACTGCTCTTGCTAAACAGACCCTGCTGTAGATAAAATACCACTGTAGATACAGAGAGGAGTGCCAGCTGTTCTCTCTGGACTGTGGGTGAGCTGAACCCCTCTCTGCAAAAAGCACGATCAGAGCTGCACGGCCACCCTGTGTTCGACTACATTTGGACCCAAACGCCAGGAAGGCTTGGGTCTGGCATGTGTTTCAGCCCCCTGTGCCCGTAAGCCTGCCGCTGGCTGTCCCCCCACAGTCTGCTCACCAGTGCTTGGGGGGGAACGTGAGCCTTGCTGGTGTGAGAGGGATGGATGGACAAGCCACTGGACTGCAGATGTGGTCACGGTGTTCCTGCAGCTGAAAAGCTTCAAAGCCTCTCTAGAGTGCAAAAATTAGCCCTTGTTTTGCTGTCTGCAGAGCCTGGCACGTCGGGGAAAGAAGCAGTGCTGGCTCTCTGTTGGCAGCCGTGGGTCTGAGCCCCCTTGGCTGGGGTGGCAGGCAGGCCAGGGCAGGCCAGGGCAGGGCAGTGCTGTGCCTGGGGAGGGGTGTTTCATTGCATCTCCCACCTCTGACCCTCTGGACAGGGGGTAAATTGTACCCAGCCCAGCAGCTCTCAGCTTCTTGCCTCCTTCTGCCACAGCCATGCGGGTGTTTCAGGATGGAGGGTTAAGGACAAAGCTCTGATCCTGCTGCTCCCTCCCACCACCACAAAGTGAGGAAGCGTGGTAGCTCTATGGGTCCCACAGTCCCTACAGCATCCTGCAGGCAGGTGGCACATCACCTGTCCTGCCTCCCAGCCCACCTGCCCTGAGCTCTGGAGACAGGCTACAGGCTTCATACTTTCACAGGAGGTTTGCCTGCAAGGTGAGGCAGCTGCTAGGAGCTCACTGTGGGTTCCCAGAGCAGCTTTTATCTTTTTTTTTTTCTGTTGTTGCTGGTTGGGTTTGTTTTTTTTCTGCAGAGGACAGACTGACCTAGTGGGATGGATTTTTTTTTGTGTGTGACTTTTGTTAGTTTTTAAGTTACCCGACTTGAATTTATCTGAACAGATGCAGAAGGAACTTCTTTTTTTTGTGAGTTAAGAGACAAAAACGCATTTTTAAACAAAGGAATCATGTATTAACATTTTAACAGCAATTCATAAATCTGCACTTTTTATGAGGTTTTGAAAAATCTATTTATAGGTACGGAACAATGGGGTTTGTTTAAAACTGTATCGCATTTATACTTGCTGAAATTACTTTCATTGTTATCAGTAGGAATTTCATTGGT